GAATTCTGGGAGTTGAAGTCCACATATCTTAAAGTTGCCAAGGTTGAGGAACACTGATCTAGAGGACAGAATTATTGCATCACAGACTCATCTTTATTGTAATTTATAACAAGATATTCATAATAAGCTACTAACATCTGCTTTTGGGTCTTTTTATGTGCAACTTTGCTTGGCAGATACAGATCCTAAAATAACTCCTTTGCTGGGTTTGTAACCGTAGCCTGTAGAATGCATGCTTTGCCAATAGCTACGTAGACTAAGCACTGTCACAGGGCTTTTTATTATGTGTGTGATACCATGGTTTTTATGTTGTCTGGGACTGTGACCTGTGATAAAGATCCTACTACTACAAGCTATCAGAGCTATTTGTTGAAGGGCTTGTCTGGATACTAACTGTTACCATCCATCATGTGCCCACTGACCTTGTTCCAGAGCAGTGTTTGCAAAGCAATTTATTTTTTTAGATGTAAACACAGGTGAATCCTATTGAGAAGGTTCTATAGTTGCCTTCAAGCTGCTTTGGCAGGCTGGGTGTAAGCAAAGGAGGGAGGAGAAAGGCTTTTTAAAAATCTATTTACGGAGAGAAGGGTTTCTTTATCCATCTAGCACACTAAGGGAAATTTTGACTCTGAGGGGTTGGCCTCGGGCAAAAGTCTTCTCTATTGTTTACACCCTGGTCCTTTTTGTTGAAGATACCTACTGTTGAATTGGAGGCTTCCAGTGCATGCTCTCATTCTGTCACCTTCAACTTGGTACTGTTCAGATGTCTTAAGACTACAGCACCCAAAATCCTGAACCAGCATGGCCCCTTCTGGGGATGCTGTGACAAGAAATCCTGATACATCTAGTAGACATCAGGCTGAGAAAGGCTGCCCTAATTGTAAATTCTGCAATGCAATCCCATGTTATTTATTAAGGAGTAAAGTGTTCCAATAAATTCAGAAGATCTACTCCAAAGTACATACAGTAGCATAAAGTTGTAGTTTATGGTAAGTTTCAGTTTGCCAGGCTTGTACAACATGCTAAACCAGGTCCATAAAAATCCTAAGGGCTGCATTTGTACAACATCCTAAGTTTGTTTAGTTTTAACATGGGTTCTTTTCTTGTGCTTGCCATGCTGTGCAACCCTTACACACCTCCCAATTCAAATAATTAAACATAGGAAGAACAACAGAGGAAACTGAGTTCTGAGCGGTCTCTGAGCTTGATTTTCATCGTGCAGATGTTACCATACAGACATTTCTTTACCATAGTTGGTGACATCATCAGTGCATTAATATGAAGTGGGGCTTGGTGGACATTTAATGCACAGATGATGTTACTGAGCATGGTAATGAAACATCTGCAAGATGAAAACCAAGCTCAGAGAGCACCAAGCTCTCAACAGTTCAACCCCGAGCTACATATATTCTCCACCATTGCAACTGTGGAACTGAAAAGGAGGAGGAATATATAACAAATAGTTACATGAGAGTTCCGTTTTCTTCAAGCCATTCTAGAGACAGCAGCTTTTTTCCCAGGGAAGGAGGAGGGGTGTATGTTTAACAGCTGTATGGATACTCACCGGGTCAAGTTTATCTCAAATTCTGCCTCTTGCTTGCACCCAGTTAGTGACATTAGCATGCAAAAAGGCTAACCACAGCTCAGCAGTTGCATCAGTAAGCTCAAACCTATGCATCTCCCCTTGCTATGATTATGTTTTCGGATACTTCTGAAGCCTAAGGCCACCAGAAAGGGGGCTGCAAAAACCCAGCAGCCCACCAGGTGTCAGCAACACCTCTGACTTGTTTATGTCTCTTTGCTGCCATCTAATGGCAGGTTGTATCCCTGTGGTATCTAAGGTCAAATCTCCCTGCCCAGGTTTAGTAGCTCCACCAAAGCCTCCAGGCTCTGTGCTGGGCTGCTGTTTATTGAGTCAAACCATTTGCCCATCGACCCCAGTATTGTTAATACTAACGGGCAGCAGCTGTCCAGGCTAGCCATGCCGGAGGGGAGGTGTGGGGAGGGCACCGAACCTGGGACATTTGGCATGCAAAGGGATTTGCTCCTGAGCAATGTCCCTGGCCTGGATCGTGTAACCCAGAATACTCCTGCCTCTTCTCTAAAAATACACAAGGTCCCATGAGAATTGTATGAAAACAAAACAACTCTCCCCTTTTATCTCCCGAGGTGTAGCCCCATCAGTGTTTTACAACACCAGCAGAATCCAGGGCCTCCTTAATGACCAACCAATTCATTATCACGTAAGCTTACACAGGTCACAGTCCATTACTCTGCAGATCTGATGAGACGTGTTTGGTCTGTGAAGACGTAGGAGATAATAAATTGGGTCGTGTTTAAAGTGCCCCAACAGTGTTTAAAGGGCCCCAGCAGTGTTTTCTTTTTCTTCTATCTCCTGATTAGCCTTGAAATCTCAGCGTCAGTCACACTATACATCTCCAAGGCCCGCTTTTCTTTCAGCTGCTTGCACCACACCTCTTCAGATAACAAACATCACAGCACAATACTGCATCATAATCAGGAGGGTCAGGGAAGCTCTCAAGGCCAAATTATTAATTCACAACCAAGGCAGGAGTTTGAGGCTGTCTTCCTGGGACCCTCTTGAACAAAAGGAGAGGTCCCAAGCCCAGAGGAGGGCTGGATTGTCACCTTCTGAAGAAAAGGAAATTCCCCAGATTTCCACCTAAACACTACAGCTACTCTTAAGAGTGACAGTTCTTAAGGCCAGAGGCCAATTCTGCACTGCCTACAGAAGGTAAGCATCAAGTCTGTAAATCAGAACGGCAGAAGCAGAAATCTGCAGTTTATTTGCTGCACAAGTAGTAGATGCCTTCTGAGAATGATAGCTGAGGAACCCTGGTTTCTGAAGGAAAAGGCAGAAGGCCACCAGTTTCAAAGCCCTTATCTCTGGACTGGTTTACACGCTCGCTCTGCTAATGTAGCTTGTTAGATTCAAGGTCAGCTGAAGTTCTGGTCCTCAGGATACCCATTTTGTTTTTTTTTAAATTAATTATTTGGTAGATTTATATGTTTTCCTCCATGAGCCCAGGGCAGTGTACATAGCAATCCTTCCCTGATTTTGTTTCCCAACAACAACCCCATAAGGTAGGTTGGACTGAGAGAACGACTGGCCTAAGTCCACCAAAGACCTTTTGTGGTTGAGGGGGAGCTAGAACCTACGTTTCCTTGCTCCTAATCCAACACCTTCCTAACACAATCATATTGGTTCTCACTTTTGGAGCAATATAAGAATATAACAACTCGGTAGCAATGGCTGGTCGTTTTAGTTTGTGCCTGCCCTTGTTAAAAAGGACCACCACCTGTTGCAAACTGTACCTGCCTTTCGTTCGGCTTCAGTTCTGCACGGGGCCCCTCTTAGAGCTCGCTAAACATTTTGACCTTGAAATATCCCTGCTCCGAAACATCTTGTCCTGAGGCCTGAGTATTTCAGCCTGGAATCATCTGGCACCCCCTGGACCCTCTTACCTGAACCTCTCCTGACCAGCCGTGTCCCAGAGCTGGAGCTTCACCCTGATTCCCGGAGAGAGTTCCAGCATCTTGCTGTAGAACTCGACCCCCACAGTGGGGCACGGGGTGGGCATGAAGCACCGCTCCGTGTACCGCCTCAGCAGAGATGTTTTGCCCACCGTGGAATCACCCAGCAGGAGGATCCGAAACTGGTAGTGCCAGTTGCCACTTGGGTGGTGGGCCGGCAGCATCAGCCCCAACTTTGACTCAGAAGTTACTTCCATCGTGGAAAAGTTGACAAGGGGAGCGGGACAGCAGCCTAGGCATGGATCCTGGAGCAAGAGTTGGATTGTGCCCCGTCTGCTGATCTCAGCTATGTTCTACTACCAGCAGGAGAACTCTACGGGATGAAGATGTAGCTGTCTCCGCCCTTGAGGATTTCCACCCCCCCATCTCCTCTGGAGCAGGGAAAAGCCAACCCACCTCTCAGCCAGGAATACGACCCCCTTCCCCCCCTCCTTCAGCTCCACCTACCGCGTTCCCATCTAGCTTGGCTTCTCCAAACAATGAAACCTCCGGATTGGATTTCTGTTTTGAGGGATGGTTAGGCAGAAGTATGAGTGGCCTTGGACATTTTTTTTTTAGTTTTTTTTAATCCCATCTTTCTTATTTTTATAAATAACTCAAGGCGGTGAGGATACCTAATACTCCTTTCTCCTCCTATTTTCCCCACAACAACTCCTCTGTGAGGTGGGTTGGGTAGAGAATGAGGGACTGGCTCAAAGTCACTCAGCCAGCTTTCATGCCTAAGGTGGGACTAGAACTCACTGTCTCCTGCTTTCTAGCCTGGTGCCTTAACCACTAGACCAGTGTTTCTCAACCTTGGCAACTTTAAGATGGGTGGACCTCAATTCTTCGAATTTTGGGAATTTCATACCCCCCCTCTTTAAGTTGCCCAAGTTTAGAAAAAATGGACTAGACAGACCGAACAGGGTTCCATTATT